AGTGCACCCAACATCAACCAAAGGGAACGTTCTCAAGCATTTTGCAACTTAGAATTCCTTATTTTGAAGCGGCAGAAAAGGTTCTGTGGGACAAACAAGGGGGAGTGGGGGAGTGACAGGGGGAATCTGGAAAAATACAACATGACTCCCCCACCCCCCAGCCCAGGCGCCTCCGGGGCCCTGACGCCAAGAATGAATGAGGGCTGCAGGAGTTCTGCCTCGAGTGCCTCCACTCACAAAGCAGTTTCTCCAATTTCTAAGCAGACCTGAACTGGTAAGAACGCTACGCTTGAATCCTCAACTTCAAGTACATTTGATTTTCTGACAAAAAACTAGTTTTTCCTCACAAAGCAAATTAAAAATAAATAGAAAAGCAAACATGCTGCTTTAATGTAATTTTTAAATGGTAAAGCCATATTTTAACAAGAAACTATCAAAATTTCAATACAAGTATTCTTAAAAATCTTATAAAGTACATTATAAATGCAAGTAACAACAAGAACACTGCATTTTCTACTATCTCATTAAAATTAAGACAGAAATCATGAGATTGGGCCTCCCCGGTGGCGCAGCGGTTGAGTGCTGGGTTGCGAAGCTGGCCGCGGCCTCTGCAGCGCCAGTTCAATCCCCGGCTGCTCCCTGGCCCTGGAGGAGGGTCCCACATGGCGCGCAGACCTCTCCTGCCGCCCGCTGCTCCCCTCAGCGGTGTGCTTCGGTCCTCTGCCTGCTCTGCTCCCCGCTCTGGCTCTGGTGAATTTTCTCACCCTCCCGCGCTTCTGACTGTGCCCAGTGCTTGCATAAATAAATAAATAAATAAATCTTAAAAAAAAAAGAAAAAAAGAAGAAGAACTCACGAGATTCCTTATTTATTTCTTCTCTTCCGGGTTGTTCATGGTGACTATAGATGGACACACACACACCCTTGAAAAAAGGAAGCTACCAAACTACAATGAAATCGTTAGCAAATCACCACATGCCACCGTCTCATGGTGAATAGTAATATAAATCATCGTGATCTAAACCTGATTTGGAGGAAAATTTTTAAAACTTAGTGCAATTTTAACCCATTTCTGGCTTTATTTTTTTATTTTTAAAGATTTATTTATTTATTTATACAAGCACTGGGCACAGTCAGAGGCACGCGAGGGTGAGAGAATGCACCAGAGCCAGAGCAGAGAGTAGAACAGGCAGAGTGAGGAAGCACACTGCTGAGGGAAGCACACTGCTGAGGGGAGCACACTGCTGAGGGGAGCAGCGGGCGGCAGGAGGGGTCTGTGCGCCATGTGGGACCCTCGCCGGTGGTCAGGGATCGAACTGGTGCTGCAGAGGCTGCGGGCAGCCTCGCAACCCAGCGCTCAACCGCTGCGCCACCGGGGAGGCCCCCATTTCTGGCTTTAAATGATGCTGTGTCCCTTATTAATCTATGCTTCTGAGAGGGAGCTATCGGACATCTTTGAACAGGCAACATGAAGAATGGGGAAATCAACAACTAAAACAAGATGGGGAACTCCACCCGGCACAAAAGCCCCATCCCTGAGCAGGAGGCAGAAGGGAGGGCAGGAAGGGAAGGCAGGGACTCTCACATCCTGACGGGCAGACTGGAGCAGCCTCACCTCATAAAATATCCCAGATGAGAAACTAATTTGTAAGTGCAACTTCTGTAATTACAAAAGCGGCCAATAAAGTTCTGAAGGTGGCTGTGAAGCCACGCTGAGGACCGAGGACGTGTTATGCTGGATGGTGTGTGTGCGCTCACTCACCAGCAAGAGTCCGCCCCTACACTGGGCACGTGCACCTGCCTGCTGGCCAGACGTGGAAATTAAGGCTACTGACCAATCTCAGAAATACTTAGAAGCTGACTCCACTAGGGAATAGGTCTGGAGAGATAGGACTCGTATTTCTTTTTACTCGTTCCTTCCGTAGTTGCCAATTTTTAACAACTATGTGTAATTATTTCTATTAAAAATGAAAGCCAGATGGTTGGCATAGTGGTGGGTACATGCAGGGCAGCCGCAGGCTGGGAGCGGGAGCCCTGGCTTGAACGGGCACCACTGGGCCCGAATGAGCCCCACAGAGAAATGCAGTCTACCCCAGAAAGTGGGCCAGGGCTTGCCCCTGCCTACTGCTCCAGACCTGTGGACTCTTGGGGTGCATCTCTGAGGCTCCAAGCTGAGATGAACAGCCCAATGAGGGATCAACCAGGGCACCATTCTCAAGTGAGCCAGGGACAACATCACAGCTGTTTTAACATCACTGATATTGAAAATATCCCAAGAAGCAAAGGAAAAGGCTACACCACCACCTCAAGTAATCTAACTCTAAATACAATGCTAAAACAAAAGGCAAAGAACTAACTTATTCTAGAACGTCAAACGATCTGAAAGATCTCATCAGAATTGAGTGATCAGCCAAGGGCTACTTAAGGTCCTGGTTTGACTCTCCCTTCATACTGGACTCCTCTGCACCGTTTGGGACACTGTTCACTGTTAGGACAGAGAACAGGAAACGAAATGCTTGAGAGCAACTGTCAGCGCAAGGTGACTAAGAAACACCACGGAATTTGATCAAAGAAGGTGAAGAAAGTTCTGTGTTTTATCCCAGTTATTCTCATCTGTTGTCGTGTGGCCATCTCTCAGCTGAAAACCATAAACTGCCTTCCTTTGTTCTGGCCCATCTTGAACTTAAACACACATGACCCTTGAACAAATGCGTGTGGAAGGTTAGGGGGACCCCTCCCCCCCATCCAAGAGCAGCTGAACATGTGAGTGTAACTTTTAACTAAAGCATCTTTGAGGAATTAAGTTTCAGGGCCTTCGCCCAAAGCTACCCAGATACCAAAAATTCACAGGTGCTCAGCTCCTTAAATAGGGGTGAAAGCAAGGCAACCTTAGGGGAGAGACACTACTACCCCTCTCTGGCCTCCACAGCCCCCGTGGAACTTGAACCACCGTCGTGATTCAAGCATCTGCGAACCCAGAAGCTCGGATGAGAAAGACGCCTGCTTGTAAGTTGCCCTGCTAAGCGCAAGGCCATGCTGTCGGGCCAAGGTGGAGCCCATCTAATTCCCAAAGAATCACCACCAAGATAAGAAGTTTGGAAACCACCAGGACCCAACACCCAACGCCGGAGAGGGAAGCCTCCAGGAGCCCAAGGAGATAAGGCGCTGCCCCTGACCGCTACGCGAGGTCCAGACCCAAGGCTTCCCCAGAACGCTTCGGCTCCCGTCTTGGAAAGGGAGGTCCGCACAGACCCGCAGCCGGGGTGGCCGGCCAGCCGGACACAGGGCCCAGGCTGGGTGGGGACAAAGCTCCTCTCAGCACCCGGGTCGGCGTGTCAGCTCCCCTGACCCCAAGCCTTGGACGTCTGGTGCCGTCCGGTCAAATTTTAAGACAGCCACTGGCCCCGAGCTCCAGACCGCTCCTGCCCTCAGGCCTCAGCGCCCCGACGAGGGGGCCCCTCCCCACGGCCGTCTGCCGAGCTTCTCCGAGCCCGTCCACACGGCCCGGCCGCGGCGCGGGGGAAGCCGCAGGGCAGCGAGCGGGGGCCAGGACGGCGCCCGGTGGCCGCGGCGAGTCCACGCGCGGGACCTAAGTGACCCCAACCTCCAGATCCGGTCAAGACCTGGAGAGCCGCTGCCCAGGCGCGACTGCGGACACCCCGACCCCCGCGCGCGCCGAGGGCGCAGGCAGCGCGGTGGAGGCCGGCGCCCCCGGCCCCGCGCCGTCGCGGGGACCCCGGCGCCCTCGCGGCCCGGCTCGGCTCCGCCGTGACCTTGGGCCGTCTCCCCAGGGGTCACGCGCAGCGGCCCGCGGGGTCGTGACCTTCACCGGGACCGGCCCGGCCGGCTCGAGACTCCGCGGGCGCCCCCCGCACCCCACTACCTCCCCCGCCCCGCCCCCAGGCCCCCGCGCCCCTCCCGCACCCGCCCAGCCCCCGCGGGCCCTCCCGCCCCCCGCGGCCCCGCCCAGCCCCCGCGGCCCCCCGCCCCCCGCGGCCCCGCCGCACCCCGGCGCCGCCGCCCGCTCCCCGCTTCCTGTCCGCTATGCCCCGCGGGGACCCGCCTCCTCTCCGCTATGCCCCGCGGGGACGCCCGGCGCCCGCCCGGCCGCCGCCCGCGGCGCCCCCTCACCGCGCGGGTCAGCGCCAGGCGCCGGTGGCGGAGCAGCCGCGACACCGCCCGGACCCCCGACATGTCCGCGCCGAGCTCGGTCCCACCAGCCCCCGCGCCCAGCCGCGCCTGCGCGATTCGCCAGCCGGGAGGCGGGGCCGGGAGACGCGGCGCCCGCGCAAGTCACCGCCCTCTGTCCGGGGCGCGGACGGTGGGGGCTGAAGTCACTGCGTCTGCGCAGCTCAAAGTGCGGGGGAGGGGCTGCATCACGCATGCGCCGGCCGCCAACGCAGGGCGCCGCAAGGGCCCGCCAAGGACACTGCGCGTGCGCAGCTCGCGGTACTCCTGAATCCGCGCGGAGGGTCTCTGCACGCCTGCGCAGGTGCTGCCGTTGACCACTGCGCCTGCGCAGCATCCCAGGCCCAGGGGAGGAGGAGACGCGACGCCTGCGCGCCCCGCCCGGGGTGTGGGGGCTCCGCGCCTGCGCACACGGAGCCCCCGACGGCGGCCTCAGGGAGCGCCGCGGCCGCTCTCGCGGGCGCGGGTACGTCTGGGGCGCGGTGGGCGCCGGGGGCCGGGGCCGGGGCCGGGGCCGGGGCGGGCGCCCGGGCCCGGAGACCCGGGGGTGGGGTCGGGCCCGAGGCGCGGCGGGGCTGGCCGGGGTCGCGCAACATCTGGGCCCCGGGGCGGAGGCGGAGGGCCGGGGTCGGGGTGAGGTCGGGGGTGGCGGCGGGGCGGGCCGGGGTCGGGGTGGGGTCGGGGGTGGCGGCGGGGCGGGCGGGCCGGGGTCGGGGTGGGGTCGGGGGTCGCGGCGGGGCGGGGCGGGGTCGGGCGGGCCGGGTGGAGTCGCGGGGCTGTCGGGGCAGGGGTCGCGGCGGGGTGCCCTCGGGCGCCTTTCGGGTGCCTTTCGGGTGCTCTGAGTCTCCGTGCTGAGGTTGCTCCTAAACTCTCGCTGGAAAGGGTGTGCGAGTGACCCGAATTCGGGATCGGGGTCATCTTAATGCGGCCCATACTTAGCATATTCTGGGGGGCCCTGTAGTGCCAATTGGAAGTACGGCTGCTTTTTCCGCGGCGAGCCGGTGTCCATTGAGAGTCCGTAAGCGTCGCTAAGATGGAGCTGGATTCCTTTATTCCAGGTCCCCTGACTGTTGCTTTGCACCGTGTCTGTGCTGTGTTTGGGCCGCAGGGCAGTGAGCTGGGGCTCCTGTGGAGGGATCTGGGAGCGCCTGGGCTGACCGGGACTGGCTGGTGGCAGGGCGGCAAGGGTAACCCCTCTGGGCCACCGCCCCTCCGGCTGCCCTCCATACCACACCACCTTCCAGCTTGTGGTTTTTTTTTTTTTATGCACACAAGAACTGGGGTACAGGCCAGAAGTGGAGGGTGCGAGGATTCACCAGAGACAGAGTGGGGAGCAGAACAGGCGGATCTACTGAAACACACTTCTGAGGGGAGCAGCAGGAGACAGGAGAGGTCTGCAGCGCCCTGTGGGTCACTCCCTGGCCAGGGATCCAACTCATGCTGCGGGGGTGGGGGTGGGGGGACCATAGCTTGATAGCCCTGAGACTTGATCCCTGCCCCCCAGGAGGGCCCCCTCCAGAGCTGAGCTGCTTTTATCTGAAGTCTTGTGGGCTGGCCCCCCTTTTGATCCCGTAAGACTGCGTGCTGTGCAGGGCAAGAGGCCGAACTGAGCAGCACATTGGGGCGGGATAACGGATTCAAATGAGACACAGAAATGATGTGACGGTGTCGCGTTTCCTTCCTTTTACATGGTTGATGTTCTCATTGTTTACTTCTAGGTCTGTCTCCATGAATAACTTAAATGACCCCCCCAATTGGAATATTCAACCTAATTCTAGGGCAGACGGGGGAGATGGAAGCCGATGGAATTACGCTCTGTTGGTTCCGATGCTGGGACTGGCTGCTTTCCGTAAGTCTCGTTTCCCTAACTTGAGCATTCTCTGGGCTGGAAACGTGGAGTCCATAGACCCCGGTCTTCAGGAGCTGCTGGCGCACGTGTGTATCTGGCCTTGCCCAGTGTCTTGGGCACACGACTTCACCCGCTGAGCTTCCGTTTCTGGCTGACACGCCTGGAGGGCTCGGTAGGCGGGCTCTGCTGAGTCTAAAACCATTACAGGGCAGCCCCGATATAAAACGGGTTGCTTGCCTGTGGGTCCTCACCTGCACGCTTAAAAGGGACTTAATACTCCACTGACGCACACACAAAAGGTCAATAAAAGATTTATTCACAGGGGACGGGGAAATGAGGAAATGTACAACTCAGGGAGAAAAGTGGGAGGTAAAGTCTTAAATGCGTCCTACCCGATCCACCAATCTGGACTCCCAAATGGCGCTCTGAGAGCTGGCCGCGAGCCACAAGCCATGAAACCAGGAGGCGAGAGACCCCCCCAAGGCCCGTGTGTCTGGTTTTTATACCAACCCTGGCTGCTTAACTCCACCCTCAGGTCACAGCCACCTTCCCTTTGGTGGTGATGGGATTTGTCTTTCCCAGTGTCTCGATGGCTTTGGTCTGGAGTAGGAGTGGAGTCCATGAAGCCTGTATGGAATTAGCTCAGGACATCCTTTTCCCCTAACAATTCCCTCCTTTCACTTTTGCCACCATTTCCTTGGTGATGAAGAACAAATATATGGATGCTGGGATACAGTCTCAGATGGAAGTTTTCCAGGGTTCCAGTATGAAAGAAAACAGTCCCTCCAGGTATTGTCCATTGTGGAAAGCAAAAGTCCTCCATTCCTGGAAAAACAGTTCATCAGTCCAAGCCAAAAAAAAAAAAAACATCTGGAGGCATTAGCCAAAACAAGTCTAGTGGGCTGAATGCCCTCCCCTGCCCCCTGGCCGTGGGGCACGGTGCCTGACTTTCCACCCTTTCCCTTGGGTGGTTTTCTGATGTTGCATTTTGAGAGCTTGAGAGCTTGACCACACTTGCAGGTTCTGGTTTGCACACGGGTGGACCTGTCCCTCTTCCTCCGAGCTGTGGCTTTCTCCACATAGGGAGGCTTCCATTTGGATGATGGCTTAGGTCTCCGCCTGGAAGCCAGTGATCCGCTGCTGCTGATTCTCTGGGAGGCCAAGCCCATACAGCACACACCTGTCTCTGGCCTGGGCTCCTTCCAGCTGTGCCCAGGCAGATGCCTTCTGCTCTTCTGGGTGCCATGCGGGCCGCGCTGGGGCTTGTAGGCTGCATGGGCTCTCCATGGCCTGCAGGTGTGTTGCCCTCCAATTTCAAGGGGCTGACGAACGCCATTCCGGGCACATGTTTGAAATAACCCCAGTGGGTCATGCCGAAGGGCTGCTGCCCATGGGCCTGGCATCCCTACTGCTGGTTGGGAGTGCTCGGTACACCCCACTTCTGCAGAGTCTGCGAGGGCCGCGTCACGCCCCCCCCATGACGCCCGCTCAGCTGAGGTTTCCTGATTCTCAGTATGAAGAGTGATATTTTTTCTTGTTGATTGAAACCTGGGTGTTTGGGGTATTAGATCCTGCGGTGAGGTTTCCTCGTGTTGTTCTTCGGTTGCCTTTCCTGGACAGTGCTGGTGAGGGGCAGTCGCCCTCTTATTCTCAGGTGGGGTCTAGTTCCTCATACACCTCCAGCCCATGGACTCCCCAGGGAGGGGCTGGGCAAGAGCTGGGGTTGGACCCCACCTCACGGGGTCTTCTCACCTCCACTCCCCAGGGGCTTATTGTGACAACACCATGGGGGTGGGAGGAGCACCTCATTCCCAGCCTTGGCCCTTGGGGCCCTGGGCCCCCCGCGGCGTCCTAGCTGCCTCCTGTGCCTCCCCTTGTCCTCGAGCAGAGGTGACCCTGGGCCTTAAGGAGCCTCGGGCCGCCCCAGCGCCAAGTCTCTGGAATTGCAACCCTGGGGGGTCCGGACCCCATCACCACTTGGTGGGCCCCTCTCACCTGCTCTGCCTCGCCTCAGACCCCCTGTGGCCGCCACCTCCTGGAGGCCTTGGGCAGCTCCATGCCGTGAGGCCGGCACTGGTCCATGGGCGCATGGATTCCCATGGGAGTTATCTCGCTTGACTGGGCCCCCGCATCCCTGCCTGGCCTCCGGCATCCCCTCAAGTGGACATGGTGTTACCCACGCTGAAGCTGCAGAGGAGGCCTGAGTGGCTGGACAGTGCCTGGGCAGCAGAAGGGGATGGCTGGAGCCAGCCGCCTGCGTCTGGGCGGGAGAGAAGCCTGGGTTGCGCGACTTGCTGCGAGGCTGTGCGCCCTGTCCCCGGAGACTTGGCTGTCCGTGCTCAGGTTTTGTGGGCCCGTGTGCTTGGCTGTCATTGCCGGACGGGTTGAGTTTCTAAGGACGGGTGGGGGGGGGGGCGGGGGTGTGTGTACCGAGAGTGTCGTGCGCTGCCCCTGCAGCTGCGGGTGGGAGTCACAGCAGAGCCTGGTGCCCGGGCTGTGGGCTCCTCTCTCTGCCCCCGGGGGCGCTGGGTTTCTCTGGGTGGCCGCCTGGCCTGCCGCTCTGGTGCGTCCCTGCACCGGCCTCTGGGCCCTGCCCGCAGCATGGCTGGAGAGGGCAGTGCTTAGCCCTAGGGAGAGGGCATGCTCAGGGAGACCTAGTTTGGTTTTAAGGTTAGAACTTTGCATTTTTTTTTTTAAGTCTTTTTTTTTTTTTAAAGATTTATTTATTGATTGATATATACATACATACAAGCATACAGTCAGAAGCGCAGGAGGGTGAGAGAATTCACCAGAGCCAGAGCGCAGAGCAGGCAGGAGGACTGAAGCACACTGCTTCTGCGCGCCATGTGGGAAGCAGCCGGGGATTGAACTGGCGCTGCAGAGGCTGCAGGCAGCTTCGCAACCCAGCGCTCAACCGCTGCGCCACCGGGGAGGCCCAGAACTTTGCATTTTTGAGTTTGCTACAAAATCCTGTCTGTGCCTGCTCTGGGCCTGGACCCGCAGTGAAATGCTGCCTTTGCTGCGGCATGTTTTCCTTAAACAAAGACGGTGGAGCTTGGCTCTGACTGTCTGCGTGTATGCTTTTGCTTACTTCAGGCTGGATCTGGTCTCGGGAGTCCCAGAAAGAAGTAGAGAGAGAGCGGGACGCCTGCCGCCAGAGCACCGTGGCTTTCCAGCGAGACCTGGAGGCCAAGTACGGGGCCGCACTCTCTGAGAGCCGACGCGCCCTGGCCCAGCTGTCTCTGGAGCTGGAAAAGGAACAGAACAGAACGGCTAGTTACCGGGAAGCCCTCATTTCTCAGGGGCGCAAGCTGGTAGAGGAGAAGAAGCTTCTGGAACAGGAAAGGGCCCGGGTCCTGCGGGAGAAGAGGCAGCCCCTGCGGAGTGCGTACTTGCGCTGCCTGGGCCGGGAGGAGGACTGGCAGCGCAGGGCCCGGCGTCTGCTGGGGGAGTTCGAGGAGGCCCTCGCGGAGAGACAGAGCATCTTCTGCAGCCGGCTGCTGCCCCGCAGCAAGCGGCTGGAGATCGAGAAGGACCTCTTGGTCCGGGCGTCCACTGACCCGGTGGCTGCTGAGCTGGAGATGGCCGCTGGCTTGACCGACATATTTAAGCATGACACGCACTGTGGTGACGTCTGGAACACCGACAGGCGCCAGAACGGGAGGCTGTTGTGGGTCTATCTCAAGTACTGGGAGCTGATGGTCGAACTGAAGAAGTTCAAGAGCGTGGAGAGAGCCCTGCTGGGCGAGCAGGGCGGGGCGGAGTGACCCTCACAGCCCGCTCCAGCGGGCGCCCGTCCTCTGCCTGTGCCCGGGGCGGGGACCCCTCTCCCTGATGCCCTTCTGCTGGGATGGTGCCGCCCCCAGCAGGACGGTGACCTCCCGTTGCAGCCCCGAGGGGCGTCCAGGGTCAGACACAGACCTGCCCCAGATGTAAACAATGTTCTCAGTGAATTGTCGCCTTTGGTTACTTGTCTCCTAAAATTAAATTTAGAAGTTGAAGGTCACAGACAGAATTGCTGAAGGCACGAGAAGTTGCTGAAGGCACGAGAAGGCGCTGCAGGCCGCAGGCCTCTGCGTTGTCTGCACGATCCCCCCATCACAGATGTGTGGGGTCCAGCCGGCACCCTGGCGCAGGGGGCTATGTCTCTTCCTGGGCAGACCTTTATTAGCAATGACGTGTAATTAAAAAAATGCCTGCTGGTTTTCACCTTTTGTGTGTGTGACTCCTTATTCTTTATGAAATGGTTTCACTAGATTGTCTCAGTTTTTACCATAAAGTAAGAGGCAGATGGGCACCTGTGGCTGCATGCCCCCAGGTCTGAGCAGCCCCCTAGGCTGGTGGTGTGGCCCAGCCCAGCCCTGTGCAGCCTGTTCTGTCGTGGCCTCCTTTGGGCTGTCCCAGCCCTGGCTCGGTGTTCGTGGGGGCTGGTAGGACACGGCTCCAGCTGGGCCCACGGCCTTTCATCGCACAGGAGGACGCAGGTGGGGCGGGATGGACACGCGGCTCCAAGCCCCTCCTGGGTTCTCAGGGCCCCCCCGGCCCGTGGCTGCAGCAGGCCTGGGCACCCTGGTTAGAGGACGCACACCCTTCAGAGGACGCAGGTGTCCAGCCCAAACTGCACGTTTGGGCCTCGTGGCCCTTGCAGAGTGCAGGTTTCCAGACGCAGCATGGCCCGCCTCCTGGAGGACTGCAGCCCAAGCTACTGTGTGGTCCCCAGCCTGGTTTTACAGGTGAGGGGGTGGGGCTGAGACCTGCATTGGGTGAACTGGGTGACCTGCCCCAGGCGACCAATCAGGCCCGTTGCCTGGGGTCGGTGGCCAGGTTGTGTGGGTTTCACGTGGAGCAGTGGTTACTTCTCCCTCGGCCCTGTTAGGAGATGGGTCGACTCAGAGAGCTCGAGTCTGCTAGGTGCTTGCGCCCCGGCTCCAGGCAGCCCCGCTGCAACCGTGGCTGCCGTCTTGGTCTGAGCAAAAGTGGCTTCAGGTGACTTGGACTAGAAACGCGCTCGTTGCGTTTCCTGGCCATGCACATTCTAGCTCCTGTCACGTCTCTGACCTCCTGCATGACCTGTGCAGGGGAGGGGGAGCTCTCGGGCCAGTAAGACAACCCCCACCCCTGCGGGAGAAGCGTGCACTGCCGTGAACACCTCTGGGTCCCGACCCGGGGCTGCAGGCACTTGGGGCACGGCAGATCCGCCTGGGGACTTGGCCAGCGTGGTCACAGGATTCTGTTGCCCGGCATCTGCTCAGCTGGTGTTGGCGCAGCTGGCCACATGCCAGCCAGTGAGCGGGCTCGGCCCTCGCCCTTCTCGTGGGCTCCTCACCTGTCGAGCAGTGCTTGGGCCTCCGGCCCCTGCGCGCTCGTGACACTTGGATGGACGGCGTCCTGCTTTTCTCTTGACTTGGTCTTTAAAGGGAGGCCGGCCGCCCAGCCAGCCAGCAGCGAGGCTCGGGGAGCGCTGAGATGCGCTGGCGAGGACAGGGTGAGCCCCCAACCTCTCAGGGCGAGAGAAGTGCTGCATGAGACAAGACTCAGCTGACTCTGTCGGAGACCCTGGAATAATATTTCAGTGTTCTTTGCTAAGAAGCTCTTTGAGACTGACATGCTTTATGTTATTGTGGGGCTTGCTGTGTTCAAGGACAGAAAGGGAGTGAGCAGCGTGGCACTGGCCACCCCCAGCACGGCACAGTAGGCAGGAGCCGATTCTGCGGCTCATGGGACCAGCGGCCCCCGCGGCCCAGGAAGGACATTTCACTCCAGTCAGGATGAGAAAATACCAGGGAAGCCTGTGAGTTATGACAGGGTCAGGAGGGTCACTCAGGAGAGGGGAGTCCCCGGGGACAAGGTTGCTGGCCCGTGTCCCCTAACTCAGGCCTCCTTGTCGGAGGCACTGGTGTCAAAGACCAGAAGCAGAGCCCAGGGCCCACTCTCGGCCTCGGTGGAGGAGGCCTTTTGAGTTTTTTATGACTGAGACAGGACAGAGGAGGCCAGTGAGGGAAAAATGTTGGTCGGGAAGGAGCAGTGCCGGCCACACCGCCTGTGGGCCTGGTGGGAACGTTGCCCGGAAACGTGCCGAGATCCGCCGGAGAGTTTCCCGCCATTATCAGGGTAAACTGAGGCAAAGCCCATGTCCCTGCTGCGCTGCCCCATGGGGACAGCCTGTGGGCCCCTCCCTCAACCCCCTTGCTCTCCGGCCTCTCTGCAGATTTCTCTCTCCTCCTGAGGAAGACACTGAGCTGCTGGTGTGCAGCGAGGGCCCGGCCCTGACGTTGGGCTCCGCTCTGGAGGGCGCAGCCGCCCGCTGCCCGCTGCGGAGGGAGCCTGCTGGCGAGGGAGGGTGCATGGAGCAGCGGCAGAGTTAGCGGAGGGAGGGTGTTCCCAAGAATACCTTCCCAGTAAAGCTCCAGTGTTCCCCCTCAGGCAGGACCGGCCAGACAAGGCCTGAAACCCCACCTTACCCCTAAAGCGTTGTGTGAATTCGGGGGCTGCAGTCAGTTGTGGTGGTGGAAACGGTCTTTCATTAGCCCTGTCTGGGGATGGGCACATTCTGCTGTTGCCTCTCACTGCTGCTGTGATTTCTGCTTCTGCTGGCGGATCTTTGCTTGGCCAAGTTGATGGGGCCGGGGGACGGCGCGGCCCACCCGCGCGGGAGCCCCACAGCACAGGCTCGAATGCGCCTGACCGGCGGTCTGCCAACTCCAAACCAAAACTGCTTTGGACTGAGATTCCTGTCCGATGGTGCCTGCGGGAGTGCCGGGCACCGACCTGTCAGAGGCCCCAGGGTCCAATGATGGGGCTGGTGACTGGTGCTGGGGGCCAAAGGTGAGGGACATCAGGAGCAGCCATGACAGGCGGTGCTGACGGGCAGCTCGAGGTGGACGGCAGGATGGCTCCGCAGGGTGAGCTAACCACATCCAAGGCCAGTGGCTTGTGGTCTGAACAGACGTGCTGCTTCTGGACAGTCCTGCCCCTGCTTGTTGGCTCTGGGCGGGACGGGCAGCAGAACCCGGCCCATCCACTAGCACAGTGATGGGGCTTCAGAGGCCCTGTCCCTGCTCAGCCACACGAGCAGACACCGGAGCCTGCCAGACGCGCTCGGTCAGGACAGAGAGGGAACTAAGCTCCTCCAGGCGGGCAGGGCCTGTACCCCTCTGAGACCTTCACCCCATTAATCCTCAGGAACAAGGTGGGTAAAATCCCTCAGCGAGGAACGTGTAGGGCAGGAGACAGTCTGGTGATCTCAGGCAACTCTGTGACGGTGGATGTGAACTCGGCTGAGGCCGACCAAGTCGTTACAAGTGGAAAGAGTTTTCTCCGCTGGAGAGGCCAGTCCAGTCCCTGCCCACAGCCTCCCCGACACGCTCTGCAGGCGAAGGGAAGTCTCCCCACCATGGCCACTCAGGCCCAGGCCAGCCGTGGCCACGGCAGGCAGCATCCGCACGGGAAGGTGAGCAGGGGCCCTGGTTAAAGGGCCCAAGCAGCACCCCCCACCCCTCACCCGGACATCACGGAACCGTCCTTGCCGCCACTCCCCCTGCCTGGCACGGGCCTTGGTGTGTCCTGCTCCGTGTGGCGGGGCTGGGGACCCCAAGAACCAGAATCCGGAACCCAGCTGAGCGACCCGCCAGTCAGACACACACGTCCGGATGACTCAAGCTAGTGGAGACACCGGCCCCAGCGATGGCGGTGGGCTGGGGCAGTGGGTGGGGGTGCTGGGTGCAGGGCACGGGGCGGTGGGCCCTGCCGTATGTCTTCCAGAAGTCAGCTTCATTTGCTTGGGGTGTCTGCACAGCGTTGTGGCCACTGAACGCACAGAGCCACTGCACAGGGGTCAGGTGGGGTGCATCCCTGAGCTGGAGTGGTTTAAAATTGAGGTCTAGGGCCTGCGGGAGAGTGTGACTCTGCACCAGCATGCCCCAAAGGCAAGAGCTCACAGCGGGCTCGTGGGGTGCAGATGCAGTTTGCTGGTGCATCTAATTCTCCCTGTCCCCCCATCCGAGCTCTGCTGTCCTGGGACACACCCTGACTGCCCCCCAGGCCCAAGGGGGGCCCGGAATCCACGGCCCTCGTCCAGGGCAGTCAGCGGGAGGCAGCTCCCTGCCCTGGGGCTGCACGGCCCTGGGCGTCAGCCTGCTGACCAGACGGCCCGAATCTAGGACGGTGTCCTCGGCCTGGCCCTCTTTGCCCACGCGCCTTTGGCGGGGCAGGTGGCCTGGGCAGCCTCCCCCTGCTGCCTAGAGGGGCCAGCCCAGCGCCGCCAGCCGACTCTAGGCCTGCGGGGCTTCTTGTGCTGAGGCTGCCTCTGCCAGGGGCCATGTGCTCTGAAGTGCCAGAGCTGGGTACTACCGGGCCTGAGCAGACAGGCCGGCCTGAGTCCTGGCGCCCCCTCCCTGCTCCACAACTGCCACGTGCACCTCCGGCCACTCGTCTGCAAGAACAGGCCCGGGGGCCTCCCTGGTGGCGCAGCGGTTGAGCACTGGGTTGCGAAGCTGCCCGCGGCCTCTGCGGCGCCGGTTCAATCCCCGGCTGCTCCCCGGCCACCGGAGGAGGGTCCCACATGGCGCGCAGACCTCTCCTGCCGCCCGCTGCTCCCCTCAGCAGTGTCCTTCGGTCCTTCTGCCTGCTCTGCTCCCCGCTCTGGCTCTGGTGAATTCTCTCACCCTCCTGCGCTTCTGACTGTACCCAGTGCTTGTGTAAACAAAACAAACAAACAAACAAATAAATAAAAATCATAAATAAAAAATAAAAATACATGCCTCTTAAAAAAAAAAAAAAAAAGAACAGGCCCGGGGCTGAGGGTGCCCACCCCCCGCACCCTGGCCCTCCTATCGCAGCTGCTGGCTCGCCTGGGGCCTGCCACGCAAGCAGGCCTCATCAGGACACCCCCAGACCGTGCCCCGCAGTCGGGAACCGTCACATCGGGAACCTTGGCCCAAGTATGAGCACAGCCCGAGGCACCCTCCCTGTGGGGTGAGAGGTGGGAGGGCCCAAGGGTCCCACACGAGGGTCCACCTGTGAGTGCCCAGAGTTTCAGCGGGCGAGGGTCTGACCACATCAAGCTCTAACCACCTTGAGAAATCGTTTAATTTTCACACTCAAATTCTTTCAAGTGTTCTCTATCACACTGAACTCATGCCACGCTGGCATCAGCACACCCTGCTTGGCCTGCCAGGCGCCTCACGCTAGCTCTCTGCACAAACCGGACCTCGGAGGAGGGGATGAAGCAGCCCGGTCAGCCTCGGGAGCTACCTGTTTCTCCAGACGTCGTCTTCCCAGAGGGCCTCCGAGCGCGGCAGGGCCTCGAGGGCGGCGTTTTCCTCCAGCGACAGAGCCTTGGTCCAGGCCCCACGCTCTCTGGCGGGCCGTGTCTCCGGCCCGGGCCTGCTGCGCCGTCTTGGGCCACTCTGCTCTGTCATTGCCCCTCGGCTGACAACCACGGCTACCTCTCGCTCCGCCTCAGGCTCCTCCCCCACCGCCAGCCTCCAGGCTTCACCCCAGCCCGCCGCCTGCTGTGCTCTGGGCACCTGGCTGACCGGTGGCGGGGTGGGGAGGGTGGTGGGGGTGGCGGTCACCAGCGCAGGCCCTAGGCTCGGCTACTCCATCTGTCTCAGCGCCCTGGACAGGTTCTCCAGCGCGGCCCTGAAAGCCTGCAGCAGGCGCGCACCCAGCTCGCTGCCTGTTTCTTGAAGGTCAGGGTCGAAGCTCCCGTGCAGGGGTGTGGAGACCTGGACGTCGGCCCGGCCAGCCCGCAGCAGGTCTGCCTGCAGCTCTGCGGCGATGGCCTCGTATTTCTGCTGGTCGAACTTGGATTGGGTCAGCTCGTCCTGGGGGTAGGGGACGCCCGCGGGGTAGCAGTCACTGGGCACCGGGACCTGCACGCCCCGCAGCTGGGGCAGTGTGCACAGGGTAGCCAAGAGGTGCCGGAGGGCGCGAGCGGACAGCGGGTTCCCCAGGAGGCGCAGCTCTTGCAGCTGCTGGCAGGGCCCCAGGGCCACGGACAGCAGCCCCACGTGGCCATCCTCCAGACCACACTCCTCCAGGGTCAGGGTCCTCAGTGTTGCTGCGGCCCTGCCCAGCAGCCGGAAGAACGTCGAGGGGTACAGGTTAACCAGGGGGTGCCCACTGAGGTCCAGCTCCTCCAGGTGGGCTGCGTGCATGCTGTCGGCGAGGAAGGCCAGGTCGGCGTGGCTCAGGGAGCAGTTGGCCAGGTCCAGGACGCGCAGCGGGGTCCGCAGGGGGCTGCAGGCAGGGCAGAGAGCATACAGGTGAGGGAGGCCGCAGGGACCCGGGGGACAGGCACGTAGCCACGGGCCACCAGCTGGACACCATAGCTTGAGGGCTGGGAGCCAGTTACACTCTCATGTGGCTGGATGAGGCCAGAGCAGGTGTGTTTGTGACGCGGCAAGTCACGTGGCTGGGAGTCTCTGACCGTGAGAGGCTGCCTCTGGGAGGCGCTGAGCTCGCCTGTCTGTGTGGCTGGCGGGTTGACGGCCGTGAGCGGGTGTGGGGGCCGTCACGCGTGGCCACAGCATGTGTGCTTGTGCACAGGGGGCTGCTCTGTGGGCTCCACCTGTGTCCAGACAGGCCTGCGCTCCTGTGTGGTCAGGGGGTGGCGCAGAGCTCTGGGGAGAAGCCCCTCACGTGTGGCTGGGACAGGTGGGGAGCTTGCGGGGCAGGAGACACCAGGTTTTTCTCTGGACGAGGAGGTGGAGCCCACACAGGCTAGGCGGGGAGGCCTCCAGCCCCAGAGCTCCAGGACGGAGTCCCTGCAGGTTCAGGGTGGCAGCTGGCTCGGGTGCTCTGCCCTCCAGCGTGGTGCTGGGTCTCGGGGAGGCGTGTCTGGGCCTCAGGGGAGCCCCAGTCTGCTGAGGGCCCAGTAAAGGCAGGTGCCGCCTGTGCTCCTGCTGGGGCACACCCACTGCTGCCTCCGACCTAGACTCCGCCCCTGTCCAGAGAGCTGTTGCCAACAGCCCCTCCCAACTTCGAGACCCCTGTCTGGTGCTCACCCATCTGTGGCTGACCCTGCTGTGCCCAGAGTTTGGCTTCTAACTGTGTGTCAAGGTGCCCTCACCCCTGTACCCCACATGGGACCGTCCGAGCTGCAGGCGTGAAGTGGGCATTGGAGGTCTGCATGTTAAGAGCTGGGCACTTGGGGTCCTCCACCCCACACACAGCTCGGTGCCGTGTCCGGCCGCAGCTGACACCACACACTCTGCTGACCCCACACTCTCCCTGCTGACCCTGACCCCTTCTTGCTGACCTGGACGCTCACTCTGGGGACTGGGGCTGCAAGTGCCTGCTGAGAGCACCATGAGGGTGCTGGGGCGATGCCCCTTGCGCAAGTGCCAGGCCTCTGCTCCAGGCCACGCAGCACAAGCCCTCCCTGGCCACCTGCCATCTTCCTCTGTTGACTTTTCTGGCCCGGGACAGCCTCTCGGTTGGACCAGGGCCCAGCTGGAGGACAGAGCATGGCAGCCTGTGTGGCATAGGGCAGGGGAGTCCGCTGCGGGGCATTGCCCTGTAGACACACATCCAGGCTGAGGGCCCAGGCTGGCCACAGGCAGGACGCTCTCTGGGCTCCCGCTCTGGCAGCAGGACCCTAGGCCTATAGCAGGCCAGGGGTGGGGGTGCGGGCGGGGGATGCCAGGCCACCTGCCAGCAACTCCCTGAGTGGGCCCAGGGCAGGCCGCTGCTTTCCTGGCCTGGCTAAGCCTGCAGGGACTGCAGCAGCAAAGCCTGATGGCACCAAGAGTTGGCACCCAACAGAGTGACCGCTGGTCAGCCGGCCAGGGCTGCTGTCACCCAATGAGATGGTGGTGTCCCTTCTTTGTTTTCTGAGTCCCCCCGCCCATGCCCTTCTGTGGGGGCCTGGGCTGAAGATGGGGGCATGGTGTGGGGGACTGATGGCTGTGGAGGGCGGGGCCCCGTTTTAGTGCTCCTGGTGCATTCTCAGCCTGGCCCCGGAGGCCCGTGTCACCCTGATGCCAGCCGAGAGGCCATGGGCAGGCACTGTGCCCAGCAGCCCTCACCTGCTCACCCGCACTCACCCGAGCAGCCTCTGGACCTTCCCGGTCAGTGTGGAGAAGGCCACGCTCAGCTCCGCTAGCTGTGTCATCCGGCTGAGCTCCCCGGCGATGGACGTGAGGAGGGCGTCCTGGCTGTCAGGGCCAGGGTTGTAGGCGGGGGTCATGTCGAAGGCCTTGGTGGGCAGGGTGAGTGAGACCAGCTGGGGGAAGCCCAGGGCCAGCAGCTGCTGCACAAGGCCGGCATGCAGCCGCACACTGTGCACCACAGTCAGCCGGCGCAGCTGGCTCGGCCCGGCCAGACGCAGCACATGCAGGAGCTGCCCGGGGTCCAGGCTGTCTGCCCGGAAGGACAGGCAGTGCAGACGCAGTGGGCCGCCCCCTTCCAGGGCCCGCACTGCCACCTCCAAGTTGCCCTCGGTGACGAAGAGGTCGGCAAGGACCTTGAGCGGGCGCCCTGCTGTAGGCCCCCCTCCCTGTAGCCCACAGCAGGTCCTGGCCAGCAGCTCAGTGCGGCCCCACCGACCCAGTGCCCTCCCACAGGGGCAGCGTTGCTCCTGCACATCCCGCAGGCCCGTGAGGTCGGCCACCCTCAGCCGCCCGCCCCCGGGCCGCAGCACGTGGTCTGCAAGGCCCTGTGCACAGGCCTGCAAGCAGACCCGGCAGGCCCGGTCCCGCAGGTCCTGGGGGTGGTCAGCGCTCGGGCCCAGCAGTGCGCTCAGTAGGAACTCCTCCAGGGGCCAGCGCTCCAGCAGGAGGCGGACCAGCTCCGCCCGCTCCAGCAAATAGCTGGCCTTGAACAGCAGTGGGTAGAGACTGTGGGCCACTCCGGCCAGGCTGGGGGCCACCTGGGGGTGGGATGCCAGGGCCTCTGCGGAGAGGGCACGCAGGGATCGCATGGCGCCGTCTCCCCAGGCGTCTGCCCTCTGCGCTCTCCCTGCAGCTGTTGTGGCTGCTGGCCTTTGGGCCAGGGTGGTGGGCCAGCTTGCATCACCTGACTGCTATTTCAGTCCTGGGTGCCTGAGGCGCTGGGCGTGGAGTGACTGGAGGAGGCCTGTCTCCTGCGGCCTCCAGGGAAGCAGAGCACATTTAAACATTGAGTAAAGTATCCACAGGCAATGTTATAACCTTAAGGCATGCATACTTCAAATTCAGCCATCAAGTTTTGAGCTAGTTTTTTTTTTTTTAATTTTCTAGAGGCATGTCTTATTTATTTATCTATTTGTTTGTTTGTTTGTTTGGTTTATACATGCACTGGGTACAGTCAGAAGCCGGGAGGGTGAGAGAATTCACCAGAGCCAGAGCAGGGAGCAGAGCAGGCAGAAGGACCGAAGGACACTGCTGAGGGGAGCAGCGGGCGGCAGGAGAGGTCTGCGCGCCATGTGGGACCCTCCTCCGTTGGCCGGGGAGCAGCCGGGGATCGAACCTGCGCCGCGGAGGCTGCGGGCAGCTTCGCCACCCAGCGCTCAACTGCTGCGCCACCTGGGAGGCCCTTGAGCTAGTTTTTGATTACCAAAATTTTAGATTGTGATCTCAAAATTTGGGATTTTTTTATTAGAATTTATATAGGCACCATTTATATACAATTAGCCCTCCAGAGACAAAAGACAATGACAGACACAGAGATTTCTTGATTTTCATTTTAAAATTTTGGCCATGTATGTTAGTTTTAAGAAGTAGTTATTTTATTTGTGAAAACAATGAGAAACTTTTATTCATTAAATTTCCAAGCTGTTTGATAACTCCATTAGATAAAATGTCTCAAATTTGTATTTTTAGGGCCTCCCTGGTGGCACAAGATGTTAAGATGCAGCACCATGAAGCAGGCCACAGCCTCTGCGGCACGAGTTTGATCCCCGGCCAGGGAGCCACAGGGTGCAGCAGACCTCTCCTGTCTCCCCACTGCTCCCCTCAGCACTGGATTTCAGTGGATGTGCCTGTTCCCCACTCTGTCTCTGGTGAGTCCTTCCCCCCCAACACCTCTTGCCTGTACCCCAGTTCTTGTATACATAAATAAGTAAATAAATGTTTTTTTAAAAAGTGTAGGCTCTTCCCCCTTTGAGTGGAGACAGTGGCTTTGCTTTGCAAGTGGAAATCATAATCAATCAACCCTTTTTCCTGTGTATCTTTGTATATACAAATAAACCCTACACATATACTTGTTTATTCCTTTTTGTAATTTCAGAAAAAGAGAATCATCAATATATGTTCAAATTTCTTTTTTTTTTTTTTAAAGAATACAGTCTGGCAATTACTTTTATTTATTTATTTAGTTTATTTATTTATTTATTTATTTATTTGTTTGTTTTTGTTTATACAAGCACTGGGTACAATCAGAAGCGCGGGAGGGTGAGAGAATTCACCAGAGCCAGAGCGGGGAGCAGAGCAGGCAGAAGGACCGAAGTACACTGCTGAGGGGAGCAGCGGGTGGCAGGAGAGGTCTGCGCGCCATGTGGGCCCCTCCTCCAGTGGCCGGGGAGCAGCCGGGGATCGAACTGGCGCCGCAGAGGCCGCGGGCAGCTTCTCAACCCAGTGCTCAACTGCTGTGCCACCGGGGAGGCCCTCAAATTTTTTTTTTAAAAGATTTATTTATTTATACAAGAGCTGGGGTACAGGCCAGAGGCACAGGAGGGTGAGAGGATTCACCAGAGACAGAGTGGGGAGCAGAACAGGCAGATGGACCAAAAGCACTGCTGAGGGGAGCAGCAGGCGAGACAGGAGAGGTCTGCTGTGCCATGTGGGTATCTCCCTGGCCTGCTGGGAATCGAACCCGCACTGCAGGAGCTGTGGACAGTTTCAAAGCACTGTGTTTAACTTGCTGCACCATCAGGGAGGCCCTGTTCAAAATTTTTTTTTAAAGATTTATTTATCTTATACAAGAACCAGGGTACAGACCAGATGTGCGGGAGGGTGAGAGGATTCACCAGAGACAGAGCAGGGAACAGAACAGGCAGACTGACGAAGTACACTGCTGAGCGGAGCAGCGGGCGAGGCAGGAGAGGTCTGTCTTGCCATGTGGGACCCTCGCCGGCAGGCCGGGATCGAACTGGTGCTGAAGAGGCTGCGGACAGCTTCACAGCGTGGTGCTCAACCACCAGTGCCACCAGGGGAGGCCCTCAAATTTCTTAAGATTACAAAAGTCTCAGCACTACCAAGCTGTCTGCAGTTACTGCAGCACAAGTTCGATCCCTGGCCAGGGAGGTGACCCACATGGCGCAGCAGACCTCTCCTATCTCCCTGCTGCTCCCCTCAGCAGTGGATCTCAGTGGATCTGCCTGTTCTGCTCCCCACTTTGTCTCTGGTGAATCTTCTCACCCACTGTAACTCTGGCCTACATCCCAGTTCTTGTAGCATAAATAAATAAAATAAATCTTTAAAAAAGATTATATAAATTATAGCTCAGCAGAAATGATAAATAAAAATTGTCAAACAAAATCAACTCAAAAATACAGCTCTCTGTTTTCTTAAATCATATTTTTAGAGTGTGTTTAGGAAAAAAGAAATCACCAGAAAGGATCTGTAACCATCACACACTTGAACATAACCTGATTCCAGTAAGATAACAGGCCATCTGTCACTTTCAGTGTATCTGTGGCATCCCTATTCATGGGTGTCTGTGTCATATGTGGTAATATCCTGCATTCCTATGGGGTGATCACAAGATTTCCATAGGACAGGGTCAGGTGGTTGAATGTCAGTGAAGAAGGGGACACAGTTTCCAGGTTTACTCTGGGTGTTGTATCTATTGCATGGAACAGGGTAAATTGCACATTAAACAGGACGGCACTGACGGCTGAGAGTCACTCAGAAAGTTGAGGAAACGAGAGTAATTACAGGAGATGAGCTGCCCTTCTTGGGTTAAGGGAAGACTCACTGTTGAAACCCCTGTGTACGAGGGTGGACAGTATAAATGTGAGATTTCAGAATTACCAAATGAGCTCCATTAACTGGGTGAAGAGACACAAGACCACACTGTAGCGTAATCTTCCTCTCTGAGTAAGCACAAATACGTGGCTGTCATTATAAGTATTTCCCTTGTCCGTCATAACAATCTGTTATAGGGCAGGGAGAGGGGCAGCCCAAACCCCGCAAACCTGCCTATTTTATGTAGGGTTTTGCCATCCGCCACATCAACACAAAACATATGAGACTTTAATGGGAAGGAACTTTAATACAATTTGGAAACAATACAGGAAAGGCAAAGAATCTAGCTTCTAAATCAAGCACCCAAAGTTACCCATCCCCTCGTGGGTAAAAGTCTATTCAAATGGGATTGGCCCAGAGCAAGGCCCCAAAGCCTGCCACAAGTCTAAGGCATCTTCCAGTGGGGCCCCCAGGAAAGGGTCAGAAACAAACAGACAAGTCTGGAGGAAAAGAGCAAAATCAAAATCAAGATAAAACTGCCATTGTCACCTCCCCACGGGTCTCACCCACAGCTGTGTCACCCAGTCCACAACCAAAAGACAAGTGCAGTTTCTTCACATGTCTCTTGGCTCCATGCGCCTCCTGCAGGTCTCCTTCTGGCTCCATCCTGCTTCCTTCCTTCATTCCTCAGTCTCCTCTGCAGCTTCTTCTCTCCCTGCTCAGCTCCACCCTCCATTTGGGTGGAGCAGGGAACCTGGAACCTCCCCCTTTCTTGGGGACCCCCCTGTTACAAATTCATCACCTAGGTGTGTATTACTAAATGTGTACTCAACACATGATTTCAATTTTGTCTGGTATTTAAAATTTAAATCAATCATATTATGCTTATTTTATGTCTTGACTCTTTCACTCAACAACATGTAGGCAAGATGACCCACATATTGGATTTAGCTAGAGTCTCTGCATTTTCACTGTTGTATAGTATTCCACTTAATGCAAAGTAACTTATCCCTTCTATTCTACATGTACAGTATATTATTTCATAAATATTTTATATCCATGCTGGAATAACACTCTTTACAATTTCATATCTTTCTCACTTCATTTAACATCATAAGTATTTTTCAGGTCATTGAGATCTTCAGAATCATTGTACATAATTTCTACATTTATTGTCACATATTTGACTGTTTCCTGGAGTTTTGATTTGAGATTGTTTCCAGTATTTGTTAGCATAAGAAAGTGCTGGTTAGCATTTTTACAAACAAAGAATTTTATTGGTGTTTCAAGCATTTCCTTAGGTCATTTCTCAAAAATTGCATTATTATTTCTTTCAGTACATACACATATATAATAGTCCAAATTCTGATATTTAAATCCCGAGTCCCCGCGGAAGGGCGACGCCACCTTGTGCTCGTCCCCGAACGCGCGAGGACCCCTATTTCAGCGGGTTCTTGCCTCCACTCATTCCGTCTCCCCATCTTCAGGGCTCTGACATCACACACTGCCGCTTCCTGCTCCCCCTCTGCGAGGGCCTCGCCCCGGCCCACGACTCTCCGGGCTGCGTCCCCCCTGGGCCGGCTGACCCGCCCCTCGGCCGCGGCTCCGTCACCGCCCCCTCCCCGCCTCCCGCCACCCCGGGCGCCTCCAGCCGCCCCGCCCCTCCGCGCCACCAGGCGGCGCGCGCCACCGCTCCGGCCCTGGTTCCCCTGCGCGCCTCTCCTTCCTCGGCCTCGCCCCGCCCCCTGCGTGTTGACGCCACGCCCCTGCGCGCTGACGCGGAGCGTTGGCGGGGGCGGAAGTGGCTGAGAGACGGAAGCCGGGAGCGCCTGCCCCGGCGGAGCGGGCCCCGGGCCGAGGAAGGAGAAGCCCCGGGGGCAGCGCGCAGGCGTGAGGGGAGCGCGCGCCGCCTGGTGGCGAGGCGGGGAGGTGCGGCCTCGCGGGGAATCCTGAGGAGGTGCCGGGCGGGCGAGGCCGGGGCGGGCCGCCCCTGCTCTCCCTGTGGGGGCAGCGGGTTTGGGGCCTCTGTGGCCGC